TTTCTTATGTAATGTCTGAATGGACCCAACAACAAGGCAAGTCCTCTTGTTAATTAGACTTTTGTTTATTTGTGTGAAATACATTACTTCACAAAGTAATAATATTCTTTATTCATGTTTCTTCTTTCATTTTCCTTTTCGTTTTTTCAATATAAACATGACTTTATCTAGAGAATTTGTTAATCCGTCGATTTGGTTGTTTTGCTTATTACATCCAGGGGAAATTCAAGGAGCCTACCAAATTAAAGTGACAACTACTGCTTTGGCTTTGCTGCTTTTGACTCGACATGTTGAATTGGGGAACATTAATGTTAAAGGCCATCTTATCAAGGTTAGGTTTTACTCCTTTTACATCTGGCACTTATTTTGCATTCTCAAAAAGCTCACTCTACCGTATACATTTTTTTATAGTCTGACACAGGCATAACGACCCGCTCTAAAGCCAAGAAATTACCAGATCAATGGACAGTTGTGCCGCTTCCTACTAAGGTATTAGTTTATGCATGGTCTTTTCATATTAATATGAAAGTGAAAAATGTTATGTAATTGATGTTTTTTTTTTTTTTATCTTTTTTCTTTGATTTCTTATTAAAATTTTAGTTTTAATTTAACATTCTTACGTGCTTTCTGGGCACAATAGATTCTGGCTATACTAGCGGACACTTTACTAGAAATCCAAGAACAAGTAGATGGGGATAATGAGGTAGTTTGCCACAACTTAAATTCACATTTCCCACTATCACATCCATGACTGTGAAGCTGATTTTTGAAAATCTCAGCAAAATTTATTTTGGCAGGAGGATAGCGATAGCAACTGTGAAGAAGTTGAGAGTGAAGATAATGATTTCTTATCTTCTTCTGCTAAATCCGCATTACATGTTAGACCTACTTATGAATATCTTGATGCCATGGCGAAGGCTTTTAATGAGGTTTGACAAGCTGCCAATCTTTAAAGATTTCCAGTCTTAGGGTTATTAATTATTAGAGTTACCCCCAACATTTAGTCATATCGCGGAAAATTCAAATTCCTCTGAAGGCTAAATTTGTAAAAATTGGAACAAATTTCGTAATGCATTAAATCGATACACTTCTTATTTTATAATTTGTAAAATAGGAACAAATTTTAAGGGGGGTGCATTCTTTCAATTGGAAATAGAAATTTTGTTGCAATTAGAATGAACTCATGGTGCTTGATTCTTCAACTATCCGATTATCCAATTTTCCTTTCATTCTTCTGAGTTGAATTTGGTTCCTCCATTGGCTTATTAAGGACCAAGAAGATGACTTTGAAGATGAACTTTTTAGTGGTGGGGATCCTCTAAATGAGGTAAATCTTATATTCGATTGCCAACTGCTGCCCACAACCTGCCCCGGATATTTAGTTTATTCACTGTTCTTTTAACATCTAATATTATGCAGATCAATTTAGCGAACATTCTTTTCGAATCCCTGCAAAAATTCCTGGAGGGCGACAAACCATGTTTTGAACATCTATTTCAGGTAGTTACATTCTATCAAGTTTGTCGTTCGTAAATTTTAACCAGATTTTGAACATCTACTTCAGGTCCCATTTGAATCTTGATTTCTCGATATGCAGAGCCTCACAAAGCCTCAACAAGAAGCTATTGAATTGGTTTTAAGACGATGGGCAGTGTGATTTGTTAAGTGCTAAGATTGCCGATCTTTGTAAGTGCCAGTACATTACACATCTTTTTTTTGTTTCAATCGATTTATTTCATTTTGCTGATGAGCTTGTGAATCAGCAGTACCGTAAATGTTTGATTGTGTGAACTATGAAGAGTGTTATAGAAGGGTGGGAAAAGGTAAACTCAACGAGTATTTGTAAACAACGATTGTTTGTGAGCATTTGTAATTTCCTGAGAGAGTGGAGTTGTTTATTATTAGAGGGCCTTCGGAAAAATGTGGTAACAGAAGTATATGATGATTGATATATTGTTATATCTGTTTATTAGATTGAGTAACTGTGTAATCCTATATGGTCACTAAGTTGTTGATGCTCACCCCTCATTTTTACAAATTTCAGGTTGAGGAGTCGCGTCGGTCACGGGATCTGCGGGGTGGTCATATTTGTTATAGTTGACATTGTGATGAACTAGTGGATGTTTTGATTGTTTTGATGATAACTTGGGATATTGTTTAGTCTTGATGTTTCTGGATATTTCGTACGGGATGGTTTGAGTTGTTGGCTTGATTTACCATTTGAGGATTATTACTTATGATGACTTGATTTGTGAAATTTATTAAGTTTATTGAAAGTATGAATTTACTAGGTTACCGTTACTAAGTTTAAAGTTTTGGTAGTGCCGAATTCCAAATAAAGTTTTTAGAGAACTGCTATAGGTACATAATATTGTACGTAGGAGTGCACACAACACTTACATTGGGTGGGAATTATCAAAAATAAAAAATTAAATAGGCCCCACTCCATGTGAGTGTTATGTACACCTCTATATACATTTATTATGTACTTGTACTTGTAGCATTTTCCAAGTTTTTATACTTTGAAAAATCGAGTTAAGTTGCCGGTTTTTTAGATCTTGTCACAATGCTGATAAAGTTTAATCACCGTTTTTACATTATGATTGGTGTTTGCATATTATTATGATTTGTGAAGTACTTACGACTGCAACATATTATTTCGCAGAATGCCCTTGTTGATGTGGTAAGAGCACTCTTTAAGTTTCATTTGATCCTGATGTGAGAATAGTTCTCCAGAGTACTGACCATAGCTAAATGAAGGTTAAGTTTTATATTTACTTACCTTAAAACATGTAATTAGCTTCTCTATTAAAAGATGAAATTAACAACGGGATGACACATGTATAACACCAGTGCTTAGCTGCACTTGTGTTTATTTGGAAACAAGATATGCTTTCTTGGTCTAGTGTTCCTGGTTTCACAATGAGAAGTTTGCTGGATGCAGCTTGGAGGTGATGTGTTCATTCTTGTTAGTGTGTATGGCCCTTTTGTTTAAATCACTATATTGTCCTGTGGTATTGTGATTTCATATCTGCTTACAACATGAAGCTCTTGTTTGTTGTAGCATATTGTACGATGTTAGGAAGATGTTTTAGTTGCATTAATTATGCAGAAACTAAATATGTTTTGTCTCAATCAAGAAAAGACGGATAGTTGTGTGAAGTAGTACGAAAATTCCAATATCCTTGAGGTCTGTGCTTGTTGTACAAGCTACCACTTTAATGATGCAATTTGTTAAATATAAACCAATATCCTGGGGTGAATTGTAGTTTTAAAAGATAGCCATGTGGTTTTTCTCTTTTCACATTTGGGAAAAAAAAAAACTGCTAAACTTCAAGGGTACTGTTTTCCATCTTGTGGAGATGTCATTTACTCATATGTAATTTGATTCTTTATGCACGACTCTGAGGTATGTTAATGGTGCATCTTGTGGAGATGTTCTTTACTCATGTAATTTGATTCTTTATGCATAACTCTGAAGTATGTTAATGCAGTGTTATATATTTTGTCCTGAGCCCCTAATATAAATGTGAAATAAGTAATATTTCTGTGAGTTCACACCATCACAAATTAGTTGTTATCTTGTTGTGCAGGCTTCTAGACCCTGACTAGAAACTTCCGGATCCTTTTTGTCGGCAGCTACATTCTACAGCTTATTTTACATTTGCCTTCACATTTGGCGCAGCACATCAACCTTGTGACTGCCCTTATCACACGCATGCAGTGTTCACAAATTGCCGGACTGAAATGTTCATTGCTTCTAATTTTTGCGAGATTGGTCAGATTTTCTTATGAAAATATTTTCCAAAGTAGGATTTTTTTTTTTAATTTATATTATTGATAGTATAATAACCTAATGTAGGTCCTCATGAGTGCCCCACACGTTGAATAATTTGTTAACTTGCTTGTCTCTATCCCTGCCGAAGGTCATCTAAACTCGTTTTCTTATGTAATGTCTGAATGGACCAAACTACAAGGCAAGTTCTCATGTTAATTAGACTTTTGTTTATTTGTGTGAAATACATTACTTAACAAAGAAATAAACATTAGTAAATAGACTTCTTCCATTTTCCTTCGTTTTTTCAATATAAACATTCGCTTCAATATAAACATTCGCTCTATCAAATTAAAGTGACAACTACAGCTTTGGAAGATGCTTTTGACTCGTCGGTCATATTGAAATAGAGAGAGTTTCCTGTTGATTTGATAGTCATGCCGCGCCTCGTCCGCGACCTCTTGGTCACGTCACTGGCGGTTGGGAGAGGGAGTCCGCGAGGATCGACTTGGCTGCAAAAGAAATATGATATTTCAGGATCAAAGGAAGACTGTGGAGTTATGAATCAAAAGATGAGTTTACCGTGGTTTATGTGTCCTGTATCTGACCTGTTACGAATATTGTGTTTATTATCCATCATTCTGTGGAGTTCCTCCGTGAACACTTGAAAACATCCTTTAATGTTGAGTTCCAAAGATGATGATAACATAGAAAAGAAATATTTGTCTTTATTTACCATTAGAATCTGAAGGAGTCAGAGGCGGGGCGTCGAGGCGAGGCGCGGAGCCTTTGTGTAGGAGATGAGGAGATGAGGTGAGGCATTGTGTCGAGAAGGCGGCAAGAAGTGAGGAGAGAGAGCAAGAGTAACAGAGTGGACTGAAAGTTTCAAACTCTAATTTGGTCTCAGGCGGGTTAAAAAGCATGGCGGGGCGGGTTAAAAGAGGAATCGGACCTGAATGCGTTTTTTTTATAATTGCAAACATTATCCTTTAAAACTGTTAATATATTACAAACTTCCCTTTGTATTAAAATCCTGTCTTAATTTCAAAGGGAGTTTGTAATGTAATAATAGTTTTAAAGCCTCACAATATCACTTTAAATACCCTAACTTCAAGGGTAAAAAATTTATCCACGTCCAGGTCCTCCCGCCCCTCCCTGCCCCGCCATGGCCAAGTTAAGGTTTGGACCTTTCAGACTCTTGTTCTCTCTTCTTTTCGCCCTCTCGACACACCACCTCGTCTCACCTACGACACAAATTCTCCGCGCCTTGCTACGCCCCGCCTCCGACTCCTTCAAATTCTAATGATGCTAAATGAAGGCAACTATTACTTCTGTCATCTTCGAAACTCAACATTGAAGATTTTTGCAGGTGTCCACGGAAGAGTTCCGCAGAATCATGGATAATAAGCACAATGTCCGTAACATTTATAATTATATCAGCTATAGGGTTATGGTTATAGGGCACATGCACCACGATAGACTCCTATTCAAATTCGTAACTCTTCAGTTCCCTTAATCCTCAACCATCATGTTTACTTGCACGCAAGTCGATCCTCGCGAACTCGCTGGTGGTAGCGAGTGACTGTCACGTTGACCCGGAGGTCGCGGAAGAGGCTGAGCGTGGCATGACCATCAAATCGACAGGAATCTCTGTCTATTTCAATAGAGCCAGTTTATCTCGTATCATGCTCAACATGTGGGCTTCTCATGTTTTTGACCCGTTCATCAGTATAGATGCTCTAAAGGTTTTCGAGGCAACTTTGAATTATATATATGTCTCGCCTGAAACTAGCATATTTCTTGAAGCTGCATCCGACTCCCCAAAAACCTTATAATTGTTTTAGTCGTCTGTAAATTATCGAAGCAAAATTAGTAAACAATAGATATTTGTAATTTTTTCATTTTCACACGATACTGTTTACATTTTTAAGCCTCAACAGCAACATGATGATTTAGTTGCCGGTTCTTTAGATCTTGTCAAAATGCTGATAAAGGTAAGTAACCGTCTTTACATTATGATTGGTGTTTGCATATTATGATTTGTAAAGTGCTTACGACTGCAGCATATTATTTCGCAGAATGCCCCTGTTGATGTGGTAAAAGCACTCTTTCAAGTTTCATTCGATCCTGTCGTGAGAATAGTTCTCCAGAGTACTGACCATAGCAAAATGAAGCTTACTCTTTACATTCATTTACCTTAAAACATGTAATTAGCTTCTAATATTAAAATATGAAATTAACAGCTGAATGATACATGTATAACAGAATGTGCAACCCAGTGCTTAGCTGCACTTGTGTCTGTTTGGAAACAAGATATGCTTTTCTTGGTCTGGTGTTCCTAGTTTCACAATGAGAAGTTTGTTGGATGTAGCTTGGAGGTGATGTGTTCATTTTTTGTTAGTCTTTATGGCCCTAACATAAATGCGAAATAAGTAATATTTCTGTGAGTTTACACCATCACAATTTGGTTATCTTGTTGTGTAGACTTCTAGACCATTAACGTTAACGTTAATGGCCATCTTATCAAGGTTAGATTTTACTCCTTTTACATCTGGCACTTATTTTGCACTCTCAAAAAGCTCACTCCATCGTATATATATTTTATAGTCTGTCACAGGCATAACGACTCGCTCCAAAGCCAATAAATTACCATATCAATGGACAGTTGTGCCACATCCTGCCAAGGTATTAGTTTATGCATGTTCTTTTCATATTAATATGAATATAAAAATGGTTTGTAATTGATATTTTATTTTTTTATTTCTTATTAAAGTTTTAGTTTAGAGTCCGGCTATACTAGCAGACACTTTACTAGAAATACAAGAACAAGTAGATGGGGGTAATGAGGTAGTTCGCCGTAACTTAATTCACACCATTGACTT